GTGATTAATTTGCCCTAATAATATGTTTAAAGGCTTCATCTACATCAAACACCTGTGCTGGGGGGACAAATTTGTAAACAAATTTCTTGAACTGAAGTCAGGGGCCACACAAAACCAGTTTAGGGGCCACAAATGGCCCCAGGGCCACACTTTGGACACCCCTGTCATAAAGTCTTGAGTCATGAGGTTACAAGATGAGGTTCTCATGTACCAAATGATAAACCAGAGGTTTATCATTTGGTACATGAGAATACAAATTGAAAAGCCTAATTTATGCAACCAGTTCATAGGAAAAGGGTCTTCAGTGCTTCTTTTATTTAGAACAGACACTGAGGTGATACAGAGTGCTGACCTGTATTAATTTATCTCCTCTGAACACATCTTCTTTACTGTAGCTATTTGATCTTTAAATTTTAGTCAGTGTTTTGACAAGCCTCAATGTTATTCAGAAGAGCCAGGGTGTTGATTATTCAGTGTCTGAAGCAGTGGTTTGCTACTCTAAATGCTGAAGCTAATGTAATATATATATATAATAAAACAACTGTTGCTGTTAAGCACATATATACCTATATTATACATATATGCTGGTATATACAAATATGCACTGGTTTATATATAAAAAAAACTTTCAAAAAATAAAGCAAAGCAAACCTGTTTAGTCAATTTCTTCTACCGCAGGCTTAATGCGCCTCGTCTGTAAACACAACCCCCCCACACACACACACCCCAGTTTGTTTACATTGAGTTTTAAATGTTAGATATACTTTATGATTGAGCTACTCTGACGGTCAGACTGTGCAGCGTTGCAGTACTTACAGATAAGTTTACTTCTAGCCAGCCTGTCATTGGGAATAGCATTAAAATTAAAATGCCGAAGTACGGTGTCTTCCATGTTTCTGTTCGGAGTTGCCTGCTAGCAGAGTTGCTAGGCTAAAGCCCTACAACAAAGGCTCTCATTGGTAGAGAGCGTGACGATAGCCCTCTAAAGCCAATAGTTATTAAGATCTCATCCCTCCGGTGACCACTGGGTTTGTCTGTCTGTGTAATGGCGGCTCAAAAGAATGACGTTCAACAGTGAGCGGAGTAAAACAATAAATAAAATAATAACAGCGTCAATGTACATTAAACGCGTTAATATGCCCAGCGCCACAAATGGTGTTTAAAGACTTATTTTTCGGCGGCACCATATAATTTTCATATCAATATTTCTCACCATAAAAAGTTAAATAACATAACTAGCTAGCCTAGCAATCAGACAGCTAGCATGCTAGCGTTACTAAACAGTAGCACATCGGACAAGCATGTTACCGAAAGAGCTTAAACGCTAATATTTTAGATGTCAACTTTTATTTTCATGGGCTTAAAACACGGCTGAAACTTCATGAAAAATGAACCAACAACGGCTAGCGTGACTATACGTTCAAGTGTCGGCTCACATGGCCGCAGTCCTAGACTCCACATAAACAACTCTTCGCCATAATAATGCACAACCAGCGCTACCATTGATGAGTTTGCTTATCCTTACCTCTATAGAAAAAAGACGTATATAGCCACTCGCCTTTACTCTCTCCCGTGACCCTGAAATTAACAGGATAAAATGAGTACAGGATGGTGAATGCGTACAA